AAACCATTATTGGATCGTGACTCTATGCATGACAACTTGTAGTTTACAACTTTTAATTGCTTTGATCAATATTTATTGGGTCTAATTAATATTGATCCGATAAAAATTAAATACTTTTGTTTCAATAAAAGTATTATTTTGAGAACTGTTTTAAAAAAAATTTAGATAGTTAAATCAAAATAGATATACCACTCTTCTTTTAAATCAAAATATTTTAGTCATATCCAAAATGCTCGAGACCTACATGATTAGATTTACTGAGATGTGATAAAGACGATGGGAAAGAAAATGCTTAGGTGAGTTTGGTATTTTAGAGTGAAAAAAAATACACGTTAATATTTTAACTTTTTCACTTGGTACTAAAAGACACATCTAAGTAACATTAATTATCACTACCAAATTTGAGAGTAACGATGTAAATTAGAGAAAAATATAAGAGTAATGTCGTGAATAAATGAATTTTGGAATATTTATGTAAAATATGTAATTTTTCAGAATATTTTTGTGAATTTTGCTTAAAACTAAATATTGACAACTCTGTGTACTTCATCTCTTTTGTAAATAAAAGAAGAAAATAAAGTTTGAGTATAAAAACATAAAAAATGGAAAATGATATTTTTCTGGGATTTTTTTTAATAATTATGCACATGCATTTAATTTATATAAACATTTGTTTTTGAAAAGTAAAAAAAAATAAGAAAAAATGGTTAATTGTTATAATAAGTAATATAGATTTATATTTTTAAAAAATAATAATGTATAAATTATATAAACAGATTAAATAATAAAATATCTATGCAGATAAAAAAATTCCCTTCTTCTGAAAAATAACTTTGCATACCCTATTCAGAAGGTCAAGCTTGAATGAAAACAAGAAAATTGATTAAAAGCCATAACAACAAAAAATATATCATTTGGTAAGTTTTGGAAACAAAAAATGATCAGTATGAATCTTGAAATCCAAGTAAAATGAATTGAATTTTGAAATCTAACACGAATGTAAATGAAGAGTTTAAAATCTTACCCCTTATTTAATTAATGAGCTTTAGGGGAGCCCTACACCAGAGGTGGTTAGCGGTAGGGATGATAATCAGTGGCAAGAAAGTGGTATCAAATTCTTATTTTCATAATTCTAAAATTGTGAAGGACTTGTCATTTTCTACGGAATTAATCTTCTCATTTTTATTTTTCAACCTTATTTTGACAAAAGAACCCTCTTTTTCAATCTTTCTTTTTTTTCTCCCTTCTTTCCTTCTTTTTTCCTCTTCTCATTTTTCTTTTTCTTCTTTTCTTTCTTCCCCTGCGAACCTCTCTCTCTCTCTCTCTCTCCCCCGAACTTACTTCTCTTCTTCCTCTTCCTTTTCCCTTTCTTCTTCTTCTTCTTCTTTTCTTTCTCCCAGCAGATCTGCACCTTCCTTTGTTCTTCCCCCTTTTATCAAAGCTTTTTCTTCAGTGAATGCTACCTTAGAAGACCGATGCTTTGATCTTCATTACCGGAGGGAGCGAGATGCGAGAATCGCTGGAAGAGAATAATCGCTTTTCCCTTTTTTATTTACTCTGTATTTGAGTGGGGAACTTAGATGTCGACCGTATTTAAGAAGATTAGCTTACACTATTTATACAGAGTAGCTTATAGGAGAAGCTAGCAGGAACACGAATCTCAAGACAATAGTGTCTCATGCCTCTTTTTTTGCACGCATCTCAAAATATCATAATTAATGCTCTGTAAAAATGTCATTATCAATGCAGGCTTTATGTCCCTTCAGTGCACACCCCAACAATTTACGGCTCCAATGCAATAGTGTTTCCAACCCAATCACTTCAGGCCGGAAAAGTCCGTTTTGCAAAAAATCCTTCCCATTTTGACTAAAAGTGAAATTAAGATGGTGTTAAATTGTAGTTGACGAACAGAAACGAAACGAATATTCATCACCAATATTTGTATTCGTTAAGATGAGGTGATATTCGAGTTCAAATTCAAATTGGGTTTGAATACTTTTTAAGATCCATATTTGATTTGTTCTATATACACTCTCCCTTTGGAAACATATTTTCTATCACATCTTACTTTTATCCATCACATCAAAAAAAAAATTGGAAGTAAACTACAATTTAACATTTTCTTAATTTGACCTTTGGTCAAAATGGAAAGGATGTTCCCAAAGGGAGAGAGTATATAGAACAAATCAAATATGAATCTTAAAAAATATTCAAACCGAATTCAAGTTTGAATTCGAATATCACCTCATCTTAATGAATACAAATATTAGTGATACATATTCGATTCGATTCAGTTCGTTTATCACCCTCCCTAGTCATTAGTGTCAAATTTCGATAGCTAGAGGAGGCGGGGAAGGAAACTACAATGCAGCCGTCGGCCATTTCCGGCGGCTCTAAGTTGACCACCTTACTTTTGAGTCAAAACTGTTTGGTTCAATTTTACAAATTGAATATCCTTGATTCGTATTCGGATTCAAAAGAATCTAATGCGAATAACCTACTTCGAATACAAATCACGAATCAAACAAAAAAATATTTGGTTTATTTCAAGTCATGGAATTAGAATTGAGAATCTTAAGGGGATGTATTCAATATAGATTTTAAAAGATTGTGTTAGATTTTTTTAAAATCTATAGACTATGTAAGATTTATAGATTGTTTTAATTCTATGTAGACTTCAATAGATTTCTATCTATTACTCCCACCGTTCCACTGTTTTTGTCCACTTACCTTTTGGCACACCATCCAATGCACTTCTTTAATCCATTTTATTTTATAATTTGTATATTAAAATATTATAAAAATTATATATTAATAATCTATATGTTAAGACGAATCAAACAAGATCACACATGACTATTTTTAGGCTTACACATTGAGAGAATTTGATGAGTCAAAGTGCTTAGATGAACAGTTCCAAAAGTCAAAAGTGGACTAAGACAATGGGACGGAGATAGTATATTGTAAAGATTTATCAAGATTCTAATGGATTATTCCCGGCCCAAAGGGTTAAAAAACAAAAAAAAAATTAAAAAAAAGGAGACTGAAGGGTCTGGATTGAAGCGAGACATTCGCGATCTGGATTGAAACCGTGTCGCCTCCCAAGCCGAAGGCTCTGCAACGCCGAAGGCTTTGGATTGAAGCAGAAGGCTTTGCAACAGTGTCGCCTCCCAAGCCGCCTCTCGCCGTCCCGCCGCATATGATGGAGAGGAGCCCCCTCGGTCCCCTCCCCCCGCCCCTACCCAGCTTCTCCTCGTCAAGCCGGTCCATCACGATGCCCAGTGATAGACAAAAACAAGAACACCAGTACATGGAAGTAACCATAACAAAAAACAACATAAACAAGTACTTAACATTCCATGGGAACCTCACAAACTGGACCCCAAAAACCATTGACAGTCATACACCAAATCCACAGAACGAATAGTGAAATCCCAATCTCAAAAGTCCAAAAATCGAATGGAAATCAAACGGGTGTGGAAACCAACCTTATACATCAACAAGGGATTACAAAACGCCCAAGAATTTAGTAGGTTACCCATCAAAATGCATCAAATGCCGTGAATCAAAAGACAAAAATTGTGAATGAACAGTGACCACGCTGGCGTTGACCTTCGATTTCTCAAAGTTCATATCAAAAATCAGCAAGATAAGCGGTAATAGGAATCCCCAGCTGTAGGCAATCCTAGAGTTCCAAAAATCTAAAGCTTTGAGCTCAAATTGGTGGAGTAATGGCGAAGAACCATCTCGCGGTTCTGTTCATCTCGAGATTCTATTGAGAGAAGTAAAGAGCATCCAGATTGGAGTGGAGGAGGAGGAGGAAGAAGAGCATCCAGATTGGCCGGGGGTTGATGTTGTGCCTCAAGAAGAAGAGGGGGAGGCGTGGAATACCGATCGAAGAAGGAGAAGAAAGAATCCGCAAAATCCTAGGTCTGTTGATAGGATTTGGAATGGAATTTATATTTATATGCAAGCATAAAAATCCATCACAATCCACATTATTAGAAATCTTTCAAAATCTATCAATTTTCTAATACCATCATATTTAAAATAATATTTTAAAATCTGACTTGAATACACCCAAATTTTAAATGACTTTTTAAAATCTAAATTGAATACCTATAGATTTTCAGAATTCAAAAAAATCTATCAAAATCATGATTGAATACACCCCCCTTAATTCCAATTCTGTTATTTTTGTAGCATAAAATATGTGGATTTGAAATTGGTAGTGCACAAAATAAATTGGAATTAAATAATTCAATTTCAACCCATTCAATTCTATAGAAGTTTAATTTCAAATCAATTTTAATTCCGTCAATTCAGTGTACCAACCAAACTATTAGGGTCCGTTTGGTATACAGAATTGGTGAAATTGGAGTTGAATTGAAATTGAAACTCCATGGGATTCAATTCTAAAAAATTGAATTCTGCCAATTCCAATTCATTTTTTGCACTATCAATTTCAAATCCACATAATTTTTGTGCTACCAAATACCAGAATTGGAATTGAAGTCCCCAATTCCAACTCCATAGTTTGAATTACATGTACCAAACGAGACCTTAGTACATTTCTAGTGATGGATTTTAACCTACCGACTATGACAAGGGAAAATAATAATATTAAGAAGTACTCTCTAATAATAATGGTAAAGAACTTAAAATATAACTCTCATAGATTTGTATTGTTTATCTCGATTTAGTTGTACTTGTTATGGCTTAGGGTTGCGTGGAATTACTTATCCCCTACTCATTTGAGAAGGTGGTATTTGTACAATGAATTACTGTCTAGCTACCGCCACTCAACGCAGTTAGAACAGCAATAGTGCTTAATCACAATCTTTCTTTAGTTGCCTTAATAGTATTCTTATCCTATCATGAGCTTGTTTTTTTTAAATTTATTCTAATTTACTTATTTTTATTAGAATCAGATTAGACCAGATCAAATCAAATCATAAATATTTTTAAATCTAAGTAAAATCAGATCAAATCAAGCCCTAAGTCAATCCATAGCCTTATCTTGACTTAGAACAGGTTCTTTAGCGCTTAAACTCTTAACTATTAGTGTAAGTTTGTGGGGGTGCAATGGAAATCACCAATTAAAAGCTACGCAAACAGATCAAACAACTGTGCTGTAAGAAGATACTGCAGCACTATCACAGTAACAGATGACAAACAGAATGCTACAACACCTTCTCTGTCACAAGCACACACGTAGAATATAAAGTAAAAATAGTAAGCAAGACACCAGAATTGTTCACGCGGTTCGGAACAAATTCTCCTACGTCTGCTGGGCCCATGTCCGTGTAACAACCCTTCCACTAAATCACCGCAAAAATTACACAATCAATCACAAGAGAACTTTCTAATGTATTGACTTGTCTACTTACGAATGACTTGACGACAAACTCGGTTTGTGTCTATCTCCATGGCTTGTTATACCTTCTCAAAGATCTTCTTCAAGGACGTAGATTCCCGTACACCTTCAAATAAAGATTCTCCTTGATCTACAAAAATATGCAGGCTTATCCGAAGCTCATAAATCGAGATTGAACCGTTGAAATTTGATCTCCACTGTTCAGATTGAAGCTCCACGAGTCCTTAGTTCTATGCAAAAAATCAACGGCAATGTTGCTTACTCCTTCTTCCTCCTTCTGCTCCACCTCCAGATATTCACCTCGGAGTCACAATCATCGCCTCCGACACTATGCATACTAGGCAGCGGAATCGGCGGCTCTTCGGTGGCGCATTTCCTCCGGACCTATTCAAATCCATCTCAACCCCAAGTGGGCTCTATAAGAATATTTGAGCGCCATGGTGTGGTCGGTGGCCGTATGGCAACGGTCACAGTCGCCGGTGATACTTTTGAGTCAGGCAGCTCCATTCTTTATCCGAAGAACTACCACGTTATGAACTTCACTAAGTACCTGAACCTCACCGCAAAAAAGCCGTTGGCTGAATCGAATTCTTCTTTTAGCATTTGGGGCGGCAATAAGTTCGTCTTCAAAACATTGACTTCAAATTGCAGGCTCCAAATTCTTAGAAAAATTGTGTCTATAGCCAATTCCGTCCTCATTTTTCTTCGATACGGATTCTCATTCTTTCGGATGGAAAATTTTGTAGAGGTGCTTCATAGTTTCTCCTCTTCACAATGATTTTGTATTTATTTTACTTCACAATATGCAGATCCGTAACTCCGATTGACGTGAAAATTTAACACGTTGAAGCTCTATGTGTTGGAAACACTCTCTAAATATTTCAGCAAAATCCAACGGTCGGATCTCTGGCGATGATCAAATCTGTGCGGGCTATCCAGAAAATTTACACTATCAAACTCTGCACCTTGTTTTTCTTTTTTCGGATTCGCTTTAGTTCTTTCGTATTTTTCCACCACAAAACCCTAAGGGAGGGAAAAGATAATATATGGAATAGAATAACCTTGTTAGAGTGTGCTTAGGAGTCTCAACTATGGCTTCCTCCTTAAGAATAGCAAACCAAGTAGGAGTAAAATTCAAGTAGGATTAGAATTCGCTCTTCAAGCTCTTTCCTCTTTATCTTTCTTCACATGCTAGGACTCTAAGTCTAAATAAAACATCTAAAATAATTCTAGGTAAATCTATTCGTTTGTCAAAAAATAATGCCAACATAATATGGAACTAACAATCTCCCCCTTTGGCAATTTTTTGACAAAAATGAATCTCAGCTGCTTTGAACCTCTTCTCCCCCTTTTTTGCATAAAAAATGTCAAAGGTTTTATTAAGAATATTGGGGCAAAAAAAGAAGAGTAACATTCAAGCAAGCTTGAGGATTACAATAATGAATATGAAAATAGACCTAAACTTTGTCACATCATCCTGAGCCATATTGAGCGACTCCCCCTCGGACGATCCATCTAAAAAAGTAATAATCTGCAAGAAGAAAAAGACATGTATACAACCAGCAAAAACATCCATGCTCTAAGGTATTCTACGCTGGAGATGAAACACCTCTTAGAGCATCCTCTAAATCAGGTAGAGATGGGTGTGCACAGACCCAAGCGGGATCTGAGTATACCAAACTGATTCCCATCAAATGCTCTTTTACACATGCCCAATGCCCGTTTTTTCATAGTCATAAACTTCTCACTCTCATGACTAGGAGGTGTCACTTCATTAAACTTATGAGATGATTCAGCACTCTTAACAACATAGTGATCTATTTTCTTTTCTTCTTGATGCAAGCTGCACTACTAACATGGAATTGATCAGAAAAAACATCCTTTACACAAGGATTATCACTTGTTTTGTTCCGATTCTTATGTACCCAAATCATTCTTGTTGTCACATTCTTTTTTCTGTATCTTTGCTCTTTAAAAATCTTGCATTTCCTCTGAATGTGTCCCCTTTTTCCACAGCAAAAACAAACGTAATTAGCATAGACATTAGTATAAGAATACCTTTCAGGTTTAGGATAATGTTCCTTGTGTCTTCTCATACTAGATTGTGTCACAACTCTTTGCCTTTTTGCATAGGGTGCTGCATAAGTTGTTCCAGCAGAAGCTTCATGAGATGCTTCAGCGGGTCTGTCAGAAGATGTTCCAGCAAATCTGGCAGCTTCTAACTTCCTTCTTTGTGGAGCCGTTTGAGCAACTTCCTTTCTTTGATCAACAAACAAGTCAAGTGGGGTCTTGCTGCTTTCAGAACCTAAAAATCCAAGACCCGTCTTATCTCCATAGAATTTTGAGATATTCACTTGTCCCTCAATAGCTTTTGCTCCAGCACTCCTCATCCATTTGTGATAGTTTTTGAGTTGATTTAATTCATACTTGAGATCACATTGCTGCCCTTCTAATTCTTCAATCTTCTTTTCTAACTCTGAAATATCCTCTTTGAGTCTATTTCGCTCGGTAACAAGATGATGGTTCTCCAAGACAGTTTTCTTGTTGGCTTGAAGAACTTCTGCCCACTTCCTTTGGAGAATAGCTAGCTCTTCTGCTGTGTCAACCTCTCTGTCATCTTCTGTATCATCCTCTGTGTCATCCCCTGCTGTAACTTTACCTTTGCATCTCTGTAACTCTTTAATGAGTTGTTCCACATCACGTTTTGATTCAGCAAGTTCACGTTTGAGACTATCATTTCCCAAATATTTTTTCTTGTTGACCCGTAGAGACTCTTGAAATTTTTCTTCAACAATTATAAGTATCTCCTTTGGATCCACGTCACCATCAAAGTCACCGTCAACACTGTGGAAAGTTGGAAAAGCACAGCATGTTCCAGCACTGTCTTTAACACACTGCTTCTCTTTTTCAACGAGGATGACATGCTGCTTTTTACGTCGTAGATCTTCATGCATCACCAACTCAATGGTTTCTAAGTTTCCCATCAGCTCGTCAAGAGACATAGTATTTAGAGATTGTGTTTGTCTAATAGCTTTGACATCCATGTAGTATTTTTCTGGAAGAGAACGTAGAACTTTCAACACCAGCTTGTGTTCTGTAATTGGTTCACCAAGCCTTTCAGCCTCATTTGCCAACTCTCTAACTCGCCCATGAAAATTTGTTATAGACTCAGTATCCTCCATCTTAAGATTTTTCAATTTTAGACATCACGATCTAAAGTTTGGTTTTCTTGACTGTTGTAGTGCCTTTATGAGTAATAAGCAAAATGTCCCAAGCTCTCTTGGCCTTTGTGCAATTTGAGATAAGACGGAACTGATTTCTATCAACCGCTCCAAAGATTGCATTCAAGGCTTGATCAATTGATTCTACTGCATCCTTTTCTTTCTTGATGTATCTTTCATAAGTTTTCTGAATCAGTTCTCCATCTCCATTGGTCATAGTAGGAGCTGACCATCCAACCTCTATGCTTCTCCAAACATGTCCACCAAGAGACTTGAGAGAGGCTATCATTCGACACTTCCAAAAAGTATAATCATAGTCGCATAATAGTGGAGGTCTAAAAACATTAGAACCTTCTTGAATATTTCCCATGGTGATAGATCGATCAAGCTAGAAAATTAAGCTTGCCGGGCTCCGATACCAATTGTAAATTCGTGGGGGTGCAACGGAAATCACCAATTAAAAGCTACGCAAACAGATCAAACAACTGTGCTGTAGAGAAGATACTGCAGCATTGTCACAGTAACAAATGACAGACAGAGTGGTAAAACACCTTCTCTATCACAAGCACACACGTAGAATATTAAGTAAAAATAGTAAGCAAGACACTAGAATTGTTCACGCAGTTCGGAGCAAATTCTCCTACGTCTGTTGGGCCCACGTTCGTGTAACAACCCTTCCACTAAATCGCCGTAAGAATTACACAATCAATCACAAGAGAACTTTCTAATGTATTGACTTGTCTACTTACGAATGACTTGACGACAAACTCGGTTTGCGTCTATCTCCACGGCTACTTACAAATTGCACTAGTTTTTTTGTGAAATTCATAGCACTTAAGGTGTAATTTTTGTTGAAATTGTGTTAGTTAATTTGACGTTTATTGAGAATTTAAGTAAAATTTAGTTGAATTTTGTGATATATGTAGTCAAATGATTGTTGTTTGTGGTTTAATTAGTGGAGATACTTGAAATTGAGTATCCAGCTTTGCCACTTAAACGTTGTGTCTTGTTTAAATGTCGATGGTTCGATCCGAGGTTGAATTGCGGGACACGAATACACAAAAAGTATGGTTTACTTGTACATCAGGTATGCAGCTCTCCTCTTAGAGACTAATATGGTAGAAGTTTCAACGGATAAGCCATTAGAGTGATGTTTCATTTATCACGAAACTAAAACTTAATGTCTAAGCTTGTTAATAGCTGTTTTTAATGCATGTATTATTTTGTTATTATGTTAATAACATCTAGGCTGTGGGGAGAGTATTGAAGAAGAAGAAGAAGAAGAAGAAGAGGAAGAAGGACCATCGGCCATTTGAGCAGCTCAAGAAGGTAAATTAGTAACAATTTTTCTACGAAATCGTATTAACTTCTGTGGAGGTTCAATTCCATTTTCTGAAAATATGAATCTATTGGTAAGATATATTTTATAAAATAATAGCTTTGCACTTGTTATTTGGTGGACACTAAATTTAAAATGCAATGGAAATGTTCATTGAAACTTGAAGGCCAAGAAGAAAGGGGCGCATGTGCCGTTGGATGAGGTTATCATCCACACAAAGACAAAGAAGCACAACGGAAAGACTTGGGTGGATCCGGGACATGCTGAGCTACAGGTTCTTTCTGTAATTTGCAAAAAAATTTAGGTTCATGCTCATAATGTTGGTGTTTTTGTATTAAAACTTCTAAAGGGTGATAATGTACTTGCTTTCTTGTGTAATTGAATTGTTCTTGTTGACGTTATTCTTGTTGTTGATGTTATTGTTAATCGTGTTGTTATTATTGTTGTTACGTTGATGGTGTTGTTGTTGTCGTATGCTAGTATTTTTGTTGTTGCGTTGATGGTGTTGTTGTTGTCAAATGACACGGCTTTTGTTGTTGCGTTGATGGTGTTGTCAACACTAGCTAGATGTTACGTTGTTATCGATCCATGATAATGTTGTTAAGTTCTTATGTTGTTGTTGTTGTGGCTGTTCTTGTTGTTGTTGTTATATGACACTGTTTTAATTGTTGCGTTGATGGTGTTGTTGTTGCAATATGACACTGCTCTTGTGTTGTTGTTGATGTCGTTCATGTTGCTGTTCATGTTGTTGTTCTTGCTGTTCTTGACGCTATTATTGTTACGTTGTTATTAACTTTCATATATTGCAGGCCCAATTCTTCGAACTGCGCGAGGAGGCTAGACAAAATGGGCTTAAAGTCACCGACCAAGAAATATGATACTCGCTGTTCCAGCACTAGTAGCAGCAGCGCAGCGGAGATGGCAGCACTTAAAGAGCAAAACCAAAGGCTGCAGGAACAAATTGATAATCTAACCTCGAGCTCGTAGCTGACGATTCAGGAGGAGATAAGGAAGATATATGGTGGTAACCTTCCTCAACGAGGTGATGATGATGGAACGTGAGGGGAAGGGCAGCCTGGGATTTGTTGACACCTTTGACATTTGACACTAACACTTTAATATTTAGTGTTTTTACAATATTATGAATTATGTTACATTTGGACGTGAAGGTTTTATTAATCTAGTTTTGAATTATCTAACTCATATTGAAATCTTATTTAGAATTATGTGTGTGAAAAATTGAATGTGTTTTGCCCCCCATTTTAATAGCTACTGCCTAAAAACAACAAAAATCTATGTCTGTGATCAGGTGATCTGCGACGGAAAAGTCTGTCGCTGCTTTTGTCGCAAATCTGCCACGGATTTTCAATTCCGTTGCAGATTCTTGGGATTGCAAAAAAGATGAAACCGTTGCAGGTCCGTCGCAGATCTGCCACGGATTTTTAATTCCGTCGCAGATTTTAAATCTGCCACAACTTTTCTGCGACGTAACATTTTCGTTGCAGATCCGTCGCAGAATTTAAATCTGTCACGGAATTTCAAATTCTGCAACAGAAATCGTTCGTGGCAGATCGACAGTTTTCTTGAAGTGTATGATTTGTTAAGCTTCCGCAATATTGTTGAATACTCCGTACTGTTTATGTTATGAAAATTATTATTGTAATAAATAAAAGTGTTTGAAAAGTTTTAAATTTTACGATTACCAAGTTAATACTTTAGTCTGAAAGAGACTGCAGACCTGGACGGATTAGGATGTTACAAATATAGTTCAGTCGCATCTCTCTATAAATTATCTTTAGTATTTTCTTAAGAAAAACTCCCAAATAGGAGTAAATCATTAGGCATATCTCCAAAATAGGAGTCTCTATCTTATATACCCAAAATAGAAGTTAATTAAATTTAAAAAACATCACTGCCATTCTTAGCGCTGCTCCAAAAATAAAAAATGACAAAAATCATCCTTCTTCTGTCGATTTCGTTTTTGCTACGGCTTGCTTCTACGTTCCATAACATTTGTTGTAACACCCGCCTTCTGTGGACCCGGTTCACCCGCGACCCAACGGACCGGTAGGGTTACATGGACAGTCCGAGAACCATCCGTTACGAAAACATCAATGATTATTTAATAAGAAAACGGTTGAGTTTAATTGGTGAAATAAATGCTAGGGAATTAATTTCAAAACGTGTGTGATTTAAATGCAGAGTAAAAGCGGAAGTAAATTGATAAGTCCAAAATAAACAAAACGACATATGGTGGGTTCATGCCCAAATGATTAATTAATTAAATGTATTTAATTATTGAACTTGTCCATGCTCCGCCCATCTTCCCACCATCACTGTCCTCTAGGGTTAGCACCTGTACCGTCATGTCTACCTGCGTGTAGCAAAACAACTACACGCTCAGCAAAAGCTGAGGAGTGAATCTAACAAAAGAACATGAAGTGATAACCCATATGGTTATACACATATAAATACCTGTACTTAACGTACGGAAAACCACATGTTTGCTAACTGATTAATTTGCACTTGATGGGATATTGTTACACATAACAAAATGAATAACAACCACATTGAATGTTGACGTGACATGAAACATACATGATGACAATATGACTTGATGCATGACTTAAGTTATTAGGGACACCCCTGACTTAGTCTCACTTGACAGGATCACCCCTGCACTCCGGTAATGACCCGGGCTCGACAAAACGTCGCAAGTGAACTAGCAAAACTGGGTGGTAGCCGTAGCCTGACTACCATGTACGTACACAAGCCCACCTGATGAAAACCCGTTGGATCCCAAAGGTTCCTGGACGGGCCCACTGTAGTAGGCGCACGAAAGCCTGACCTGCCTACAGCGGTATGCACATGATGATGACCCTAGGACATGCGTCTAGGACGAACATGATGAATTGAATGCATTGATTGAAGAA